TCCACCTCTCCTCCTACTGTTTGTCTTAGTTTAATAGCAACTTTACTCCCTGCGATGTAACCATGCTTCCTCTGTTGCCGCCATCTTGAAGCCTGGCATAGCCATTGAAGTTGAAACTCTACCTCTGAAGTTTCCCAGTTTGGGAAACGCTGCACTAGACCAATCCTAACTTGTTTCTGGCTTTATGCATGCCACAGGACACACAATGGATTTGGTATTCTGATCGAGTAGTGTTGAGAATCTACAGGCAGGAATGCTCTGATGTATATATTACTATTTCAAAGTTTATACTATCCACATTGCTAATTTTAACCTCTTTTCTCCTTGTTGTATATGTGTGGCTTGAACAAGACTTTCAGCATATTTTGATTTAATACTGTCTTTTAGTCAAATGTTTTTGTCTACATATACTTTTCATAACTAACCGGATATTATCAATTTAATTTTTTATATTTGAATACCAATTCTCTGCTGGTTAATGACTACAATAAAGTTATCTCTCTGTGTAACTGATGTATAAATTCTTAGTCAGTTTTCAATTGGAAGCTTGCCCTGGTACAGGATGGGTTGAAGATGTTAGACCCAGGAATCTGATAGCTGGTGCCCTATATGTACCTGGCAATTTGCTCACCTTGTTTGTGATGTTATCATGCTGATTGTTATTTTTTATTGTTCACTGGTAAAGGAAAATATTTGACTTAACTGAGATGGGGAAGTGGAATATTTCACAACAGAAAATATTTTTGTAACAGGAACAGAAACAGGACTTTGACTAAAGAAGCATGCATATTGAATTTATGTATATCACATTAGCTGTAAAAGAATTGCCAATAGAATCGTTTTGTAAGAAAAATATGGTATGATGGGTCTTTATCTTAAAAACTGTAGACTATAGCCTATATCACATATGATCAATACAGAATCTTCATTAACTTGAATTTCACAAGGATAGATGAACTCCCCCCCTCCTGTCTCATTCAGGCAGCTGTTAAATGACACATGTTTGCATAATATTTGGATATTTAATAGTAAATATGAAAAGGACCATTAAAATTTAAATAAATTTCACAAATATAATGAAAAACAAGGCAAGTGTGACTAATAAGAGGCTTAATTTGCACATGTGTGACAGACTAATGGCTTCACTATCACCTGTGAGATTAGGAACACAATTGAAACTATGCAGGTAGGGAGACAATGCAAGGCAGACAGAGCCACAAATATACAGTACATGATGGGGCTAGGATTTTCATGAGAAAAAAACTGATTTTTGTCTTTTTCATCCCAAAATGGAAAGTGAATTATTACAGCAATCAAGGGGCTACCAAAAGGGAACTTGAGTAATTAATACATGTCCTGGAAATACCAAACAGAAAATAATAAACTAAACAGTATAACTCTTCCAGTGCTTTCAGCAGTGTTTTGAAGCCATCCAGCAAGATGATCACAAAATCATGTTGCACTGTATTTAAGAAGTTGGCAATGTTACCAAGAATTAATGCAAAACTAAGTATCAAAATAAATGTTTCCCGAGTAATTATACCAGAGATATATTGTACATTTAGCTCCTAACAATAATCAATAATGTTTATCATAAGTTACGTTTTATGAAATGTTTATATAACTACATAAAAATTTCCTTTATAATATCTAGTAGAATGTTATATTAGCAATATATATGTATACATATGGTCCTCAACTTACAACAGTTCATTTAGTGATTGTTCAAAGTTACGACACTAAAAAAGTGACTTATGACAGCTTTTCACACTTATGACCATTGCAGTATTCCCATGGTCACATGATCAAAATTCAGATGCTTGGCAACTGATTCATATTTGCCTTCATTTTTGATTCATATTAAAGACAAGCCATTTTCACTTAACAACCATGGTACTAGCTTAGCAGCTGCAGTGATTCACTTAACAACTGTGGCAAGAAAGGTTGTAAACTGTCTCACTTAGCAACAGAAATTTTGGACTCAATTGTCATAAGTCGAGGACTACCTATATAGGCACTATATTTAGAAATATGCATACATATTTCTCTTGGAGGAAAAAGCACATAGAATTGATAGTGAGTTATAAACATACAGTTATGAATCTGCAGAGTAGAATCCTGTCTAGTAAACTGTCCAAAGGATAAGCAAGAATAAGCATTTAGAAACAGTAACTGTTTCACCCTATAACAGTGGTGGCAAACCTATGGCACGCGTGCCACAGGCGGCATGCACCATTGTCACAGACAGAGGGACGCAGGGCCGGGCTCCTCCCCTCCCACTCTCCACACATGCGGAGTCCGGGAACAGCTGTGAGAGCTGGGCGGGGTGAGAGAACCTATAAAAGGAGTTTTGGCGGGAGAGTGAGTGGCCTTTGGAAGCGACCAGTGGTGGGTTTCAAATCGTTTAACAACCGGTTCTCTGCCTCGCCTTCCCTCCGTCTTGGTCGGGCTGGGCTGCTTGGGGGATCAGCTGAGGTGGGGGCAGAAGGGTGGAGGCCATCAGGTCCTGGCTGGGAGAAGGCGAGGGGGTCTGGCTAGGGGGACGGAAGAGCCGGGATGCCTCCACGGAGGAAAGCCGCCCCCCGCCGGCCGAGCCTCTCATCCACTTTGCGGTCACGTAGGATTGCATAGAAGGGGCACCAGGCAGGGGGCTGGGGGGGCAGCCAGCGGGGGAAATCAGCTGCCATCTCCCTTCCGCAGTGCAGCCCCATTGGCGTGGGCGGAGATGGCCCCGGGACAGCCGGAAAGGAGCCCTCACCTGGTGCGGGCCCTGTCTACATGGTGGCTCTGACAGCTGCTGCTCCTGCTGCTCCGAGCCCCTTGACCGGCCAACCACACAAGGAAGTAGGAGGTGGTGGCGGTGATCTCTGCATCACCAAGCCTGGCCAGCAGCAGATCTGGAAGCGAAGTTGTGCCGCCCCTACTCGTGCTGGTGGAGGCAGCGGTGGGGGAAGGTGAGCTTTAGCGCACACCCACCCTTCCCTGCTGCCACCCCACATCGCCCGGCATGCACGTCCCGGAGGTGCATGCAAGACGATGTGGGGCAGCAGTGGCAAAGGGTGGGCGCATGCCAGATCGTGCCTTCCCCTGCCGCCGCCCCCCACGAGGATGGGTGGCACAGCTTTGCTTCAGGATCTGCTGCCTGACACCATCAGTCCCTGCACACAGGCCAGCAAGCACATGCGGGCCGACAGTATCCATCAGCAGCCACAGCATGCTGGCTGTCCTGCATAATGGCCACGGAGCCCCATCGGCATGGGCAGAGATGGCCCCGGGACAGCTGGAAGGAAACCCTTGCCACAGGGGCGGCTTCTGCTGCTGCTCTGACCGGTCAACCATGCAAGGAAGCAGGACAAGATGGAGAGGCAGCCAGGGGTCGGCTACTCGCTGGCAGCCCGATGCAGCGGATCTCATGCACCAGCTGCCCCTCCTGCTTCCCTCTATGGTTGACCGGTCAGAGCAGCAGCAGAAGCTTCCCCCGTCAGAACTGTCAAGCGGATGGGCCAGGCTCCCTTCCGGCCATCCCGGGGCCATCTCTGCCCGTGCCAATGGAGCTCCGTGGCCAGTTCGCCATTATGCAGGACAGCCAGCATGCTATGGCTGCTGATGGATACCATCGGCCCCCATGCGCTCGCGGGCCTGTGTGGGGGCCGATGGTGTCAAGCAGCAGCTGCTCCAGCCCCTGCCTCACCTTGCCTTGTCCCGTGGCAATTGACACACCCGCCCTGCCTCGCCTCGCCTCACCCCGCAGGACGAGCCTCCGGCCCAACCGCCAGAGACCTCCTGGATCTCCCCCAACCCTGCCCCCACAGGCATCCCTCCCCACAAGCACCATCGAGGTGGCCACACCCACCACGGCCATGCCCACCCAGTCGGCCATGACCACACAGCCATGCCCACCCAGTCGGTCACGCCCACACGGCACCCAGTGATAAATGGGTTTGGGGTTGCAGTTTGGGCACTCGGTCTCTAAAAGGTTCGCCATCACTGCTCTATAATAATCTCTTGTTCATTTCTTTCTAGAATGTCAGTCACAGTTGAGGCTAAAGAGACAATAGAAATTAGGTCTAAACCTCTCTGCCACTGTAACAACCATATAAGGCACAGAAAAGTATGACTAATTGCTCCTTACAAAAACAATTTCCTTCTCTTAATTGCTTTCCCCCCACCCTAACAGTTTGGCAGGTACATGGGGCAAGACTAAGCAAAGGATAGCAGCAAAGAGTATCCATCATTGTTTTATTTATTGTTCAAAATTTTGAACAGAACTGTTTCTAAAAAATTCCCTTTTGAATTTTCATCCTCTTTGAGCCTAATTAGATCTCTTAGATAAGAAACAAAAGCCTAGACATTCTTAGAGGAACCTTTGATTAACTGCCTCCCCTCCCCAATTTCTTGCATGATGGTAGAGAGGAAGTTGTCAAGTGCTTCTTACAAATCGGATTTCCCCCCTTCACAATCCTGATACAGCAAACCAGAGATTTCTGATGAACTACACTGAAAAAAAGTATGAACACTGAGTTTTTTCCCCTCTAGATAGTACAGTACTGTATGGCCATTTTTGCCCTATGTGGTCCAGAAAAACAAAGGAAACAAGCAAACGGAGGCAGGAAGGATATCCTTTCCTGCAAAATAGCTCTCATATTGATCATGCAACAGAAAATCACTAGGCAGCTGCATTTCCGCCTCATAATACAGAAGGTACACTATACTTTCCGCTTTCCCTGAGAAAGCAAATGAACATTCAAAATTGTTGCTTGCTATTCAGGAGGCAAAGACGTACTGTGGCAGAATGCAAACATCCCTCGATAGCTTAGAAGAAAGGATGTAAGAGTGCAAAATAGGAAGCCAATATCGATGAGGAACTATTGAGGGACAAGGAAAGAAAAGAAATGGCTTTTTGTCGCTGTAAAACTTCATCTCAAATAACTTGTGCTTAGAGAGAAGCGATTGTACAGATCTCGAGTGATATTCCACAGCCCGCCCACCACCTCACTCACAGCACCGCGCTCGAAGTCATTATAGAACGGCTTGTCAAGCAGATGTCTCTCGCTCGTGCCGGCTAAGCCCACCAAGGTAAGGTAGATATAGTCGTCGGTGCCTGCGAACCACTGATTTCCCGTCGCCACTGTCACTAAATAGGATGGCATGACTACAGCTCAGTAGTAGTACTCCACTTTCCTAATAAATTCTCAATTTGTGGAAGGACGCTGGCAATTCTATGGGCGGAGCGGGACGGAACAAATTGGCAGTCACAACCGGCCATCTCGCTTTCCCGCCCAGAAGGGGAGGGGAAGTAATGGTTGATAAGGCGTAAAGGAGGAAGTGTGGCGTGTATATTCTTAATTCTGAAATGAAATATCTAAGTCTGATTATGGTACTTCTAAATCATATTTATTTTGACAGCATAGTAGAAAATATATACCATGGAACAGTTGGAATTTGCAGCAAAATACAATATCATTATTGTCAAAATGTTTTTGCCTGTCCAAATCATGCTTAAATAGTAGGGCGCTTAAATCAGGTTTAATCTTTGTTAAATCTTTGTTTTGTATTCTTGATATCCCCTTTTTCACCTTTTTCTAAACGTGCCTTTGGGAGACTCCAGACCTTGTATTTTACAAGTTTTTCAGTTGTAAAAATAACCAAAGATGCTAGTATTTCCTTTTTTCTGTAATCAAGTTTTGGCTAAAAAATTCACTTGTTGCTTTTTATTTTAATCTTTATTACAGCTAGATCCTGAAAACTGATTTTGTTTACTATTAGGCAAAGTTACTTTAAACCAATTCTTAAATAACTTTGCAAGAAAACAATAGAAAGAAATCAGTACTTGCATATCAAATCGTATTTAAATAGCTTTTAACTGTAGACAGTGGCTCTTCCATGGTGAATGAGACTACAGCATCTCTTAAAAGTTCAAACTGAATAAAGACAAAATATAGACCAGCTTATAAACAGAAAGAAAACGAAGTGTGACATTGCAAATACCACAGCAAAACTATTCTAAAAGTAGCATGGTCAAGGTGTGAAATATTTACAATAAAGCTTAGCCACATTAAGAAAAATAAATCACACTAATCACAATAACAACTGTAAATAAAATGAATCCAAGTGGAAATTTGAGTGTTGTAGATGAGGTATTACTAAATGCAACTGGGCATGTTTGTAGTAGTGGCAATATGAAAGAACATGAGTTAATATATCAGATTCCTCCACTACAAGAACAGTCCTTTTTTTTCAAATGGAATGTCCTATTGTTTCTCCTCAAAAAACAAATTGATTAATATTGGGAAAGATGGCTGGTTATTCAACTGGAGTAGGTCACATAGATATGTCATATAAGTACACTCATTATTGTGGCTTATATTGCTAAGTATCTGTGTTTATAAATAAATGAAAAATATAATAAATTGATGTCTTTAATGTCTGATAATGAGTACTGTACTGCCTGTTTGTATTTTAAAGCAAGGCAACAGCCTGAATGCATGAGCTTATATATAGTTATATTATATTCATTATATAAAGCAATGTTTTGAAAATTAAGTCGTAAATATTTTCCAGTATTCTAAATTTTTCAGCTGAAAAATAAAGAATATGACAAAAAATGCAAAAAGCAATGGTCTTCCATCTCAAATATACTGTACAAAATATAATTAAATTACAGACATAGTGCTACATCCTATGATATATAGCAGACTCTAATAAAAAAAAAACTCATTTTCCTTCCCACTACATTAATGAATATCTGCTCCAGTGGCTTCTTCCAATCCAAAGTAAGTAACTGGGTTACATTTTTAGATGATTTTTCCCTTCCAGTCCAGGAATGTAGTCTTAAAACCTCTGATACTTAATTACCAAATGCTATTTTACTTGAACAAGACTACAAATTAACAGACAAGTTAATTTAAATTACTGGAAATATATCAGACAAATTTCCAATAATTACTATATTCATAAATGAAGCTCTCTATATAAATATTAGTTTAACTATTACCTTTCTTTGAAATCCCTTTGAAATCTTTTTTTTTAATCCCTTTGAAAATCCTGCTAAATGTTTTTGTCAATTTTATGTATACAATGATTGCATCCCATTTATTTTTAAGAGTTTATTATATTATGAGATGCCCAGTCAGTTTGGAATTTAGTCAGAAAGTGCCTGAATTGAATTAAATATATAAATCTAACAAAATATTAATTCATCTTATGGTGCAACCTAAGCATATGCACTCAGATATAAGTTGATCTGTGTAGGATTATGTAAGTTTATTTCCCATTAGCTTCAAAAACTCTGGTCATCTCTAGTACATATATCATTGACTACAAAATGGCTAACAAAACAAATAGAGGGCAAGTATAATGTACTATTTAGGCTGCTGGGCTAGGACAATGAACCTTATTACATTAACTTTGGACCAGGCACTTTCAGCCCAACTAAACTTTGTTGTTGTTGCGACCCCATGGACAACGTTCCTCCAGCTCTTCCTGTCCTCAACTAAACTTACACAATTGTAAATACAGATAGAATCTAAATTAAGTTTCCCAGTATTAACATAAAAAAATATAAACAAATTCTTAAAGGAATAAAGCCAGTTTTAGAAACAAATTAGGTATCGACATAAAAGTACAGTCAAATTCTGCCGGATCCATCCTGGTAGTAACATATAATTTCTTTTGTAATCCTTTTAGCAAGTCTAGACATGGCAAAACCCTTAACTGTGAAAAGGTGTAGAGCAGGGGTATCAAACAGTCGGCCTGCAGGCTGGTTGCATCATATGGAGGCCACGCCCAGCCCGGCTTTGGCAATGCAAAAAAAAATCACGATACATCACAACATGTCACATGACATGGCGAGTTTGACACCTGTGACGTAGAGCATGGATATCCAACCTTTTGGCTTGCCAGGGCCACAATGAGTGAAGAGAAACTGTCTTGGGCTGCATATAAAATACACAATATAGTTAATGTATATAAATCATATAATAATGTTAAAAGCTTATGAACTTGTGAGGTCTCGTCACTAGCCATCCAGGGAGTCAGTCATGAGGCCCACGAGCTGCAGGTTGGATATAGCTGCTATAGAGACTCTTTGACAATTGCTAAGAGAAAATAAGGCTGTAAAAAAAATTGAACTTAAGAATGCTGCAAAATATACAATCCTTTTGTTCAAAGCCTTCTCTGAACAGGTGTGAATGCATGTAGAAACAAAGCAGATCTTAATTAATGAGGACCATGTGAACAATATAGAACAGGGGTCCCCAACCCCCGGTCCGTGGACCGGTACTGGGCCGCAGCATGCCAGCAACTGGTCCGCACAAACAAGCACCAACAAGCAGTCCCATCCATGGGATGCAGGCAGCACACAAAACCACGCATTCTCCAGTCCGCAGAAAAACCTTTCTCCACAGAACCGGTCCCTGGTGCCCAAAAGGTTGGGGACCTCTGATATAGAAGGTTCTCATATAAATATAGGTTTCCCAGTATATGTTCTTTTTATTTTGTTTTATATTTGATGTGTGGTTTTAAATATTGCCTGTAAATAATTTTATATATAGAATCATCTTAAAACTTTAACAAATGAAAAAATAAATCAGAAATGTTGAAAAGGCCCTTCAGGCCGTGAGACCCTAAGGCAGACATGGGCATTTAACGACCCCCAGTCCACATTTGGCCTTTTGGCTGTCATTGTCCAGCCCATGTGAGGTCAATTGGAAATTAGTATTAAATATAAACAAGTCTGCCACAGGGGCAGGAGAAGCTGAGTGCATCTTTGCAGTCACCGTGCATTCCTTCAGTTGGCTGGCAGCAGTAGAAGGGTGAGAAGTGTTTTTCTACGCTTGCACAGTGCTAACATCTCACCTAGAGCAGGCTGCGGAGCAGCAGTGGTCATCTTGTGAAGGGACATGGGCTCTGCCATCCATAACTGCCTTGGTCAAAGCAGGGGCTTATGCATGAGTGGGTGGAGCATAGCCAGGAGCTATTGGTTTAGCCCTCCACAACAGCCCCAATTCTTCCTGTTGCCCCTTGGAAAAATTAATTGCTCATCCCTGCTCTAAGGTGTATCTTAATTTATATCCAAATCTGGTTCTGTGGTTCAAACCATGGAAAAGCCAACCATCAGAAAATTAAAACAAGTTAGTGCTAAAAGTTAGAATAAGCTGAGAAATTTGTAGTCCTTCACATTTCTGAATTACAGCTTCAGATAATTACTTTTACCACTGGCCATTCTGCCTGGGTCTGCCAGGAGATTTAATTCAGCTGTGTGTATGAAATGGAAAATATATTTTGTTTCATTCTGGATATTTCTGATGAATCATTTCATATTAGCCAATGTAAGAGAAGCAGAACCCAGAATATTTTGGTTATTCCAGTTTCCAATAAAGCAAAATCCAGAGAAAATGAATTGTGTTACAGGAAGAGCAGATCAAAGCTGTGTATTTCTCTCTTCTCCACGTGCTCTCAACACAACCTTTACTTGTATTTAGAAGAAAACTAGAGATATTTCTGAACAGGATGTTTGATACAACATAGGAAAGACTTCTATCTGCACCTACAAAACTCTTGTTTTGGAAGAACAAGAAACAGCTCAATAGAGAAGATCTATATGACCACAACAAATCTATCACTACCATATATGTACATATCCTTTTTAGTGACAGATATCAAAACGTATGAGAGTTATTTCAGATTAGTATGTCTTATACAAAAATCCAGCTTCAATTTGTACATAAGGCAGTGGAGACTTACACACAATATATAAAAACATACTGTTTTCAAGAACAACTTCTGCTTTTCTACTTTTAACAAACATTGAGTAACATGAAGAGGTCTGGAGTTATTTTTTCATTTTGTGCTGGTGGCAAAATGATGCTTTGAGTTGGGGTGAAATGATATTGGCCAGTACAATGTACTTTTTTCATCAAGGTATAACCTTAACAAATAGAAACAGCTAGCTTTATATAGCAATTAGTTTAGATACAATTAATAAAATAATGTGGATTAGTAATAGCTATATTGTATTACTATAAATATGCCTTGAAACAAAGCAGGAAGAAAATTCTGGACAAATTTATCTGTAGACAGAGCTGCTAGAGCACTCCTAATCAGATCTAAGTTACTTGTTTTGGCAATTTATTATATCATGATGTACCAGGTGACAGATCACTGGAAATCCTGAGGAAAAAGTTCAGATTTTTAATATATTTCAATCCCAGACCTCTACTTATTTCTATCTCTAGAATTCTGGAATTGGCAGTTTCTAAATGTAATACATCATCACCATCACTGAATTATAGGATTCAAAGAGACATTGGAGGTTCTAGTCCAACCTTATGCTCAGTGCAGGAATCCTCATAAAGGTAGTCTTTGCTTAATTATGCTAATTAAGACCAGAAACTCTGTCATTAAACAATGTGGCCATTAGTAAAAAAAAACCACACACACACATACATAACCACACTGCCTAACAATGGCAGTTTCAACAGCCCTACTTGCCCTGTGCAATATTTTCTTGAAGTATTATCCTCATTATTATCTCAATTTCCAGTGGAAATCTGCATAAAGCAAAACAAAAAAGAATCTTTTATAGGAAAGAATAATAGATAGAGTTCTTGCAACAAGAACAGGATTGGGAAACAGGTTCCTATCATTTAAAAATTCAAACTGGTCTCTTGAAAATATATAAAGACAGAAGACAGACCAGGAAACCAAATATGAGATTTACAGCATAAAGGTAGTCCTCAACTTACGACCACTATTGAGCCTAAAATTTCCATTACTAAGCAAAACAGCTAAGTGAGTTGTGCCCCATTTTACTACTTTTTTGCACAACCGGTAAGTGAACCACTGCAGTTGTTAGGTGAACATGTGATTGTTATGTGAATCTGGCTTCCCCCACTAACTTTGTTTGTCGGAAACTAGCTGGGAAGGTTACAAATGATCACATGATCCCCGGACACTGTAACTGTAATAAATGCATGCCAGTTGCCAAGCAACCGAATTTTTATTACATGACCATGAAGATGCTACAATGGTCGTTAAGTGTGAAAACCAGTTATACGTCACTTTTTTCAGTGCTGTTGTAACTGTGAACAGTCACTAAACAAATGGTTGTAAGTTGAGGACTACTTGTACATTTATTTCAATGTTGACATGTGAATGGCAAGAGACACTTAACTTTGGAGCTCAAAATTCTTTGGCCTTGTCAGATTGGAGAAGTTAATTTTGTTTATTCTGCGGAATTTCTATGACATTACTGGATTCATGGAACTGAATTTGCTTGTAACTAGGCAATTCCTAAAATAGATGTGCATACCTTGTGAAGAGCCATATCATTACAGAATCTGTTGCATGGACAATTTATCTTTTGTGATACAGAAGTTGAAAACAAACTTCTATGAAATAGAGGGGTTAATTTTTCAAAATATACAGTATATTCAAGCTCTCAGGAAGAAGTCTTTTACTGTAAGTTTGCAAGGAGGAATATTCAGGTAGTCGATGATCTTATAGATTGAAACAATATTTGTGAGGGCACTTGGCAACTCAATGTAAGATGAGAAAGATCACATCTGAATTAAGCCACAGAGTAAACAAATCTTGGTGAATCTTGGTGCTGAGGACCTTCCATTCTTCTCTTCCCTTACTTAGTCATGAGGAATTCTCCAAAAGCTTCTGCTTTTGAAACTGGATGCTTTAAAATAAAATTAAATCTAATTTGGTTTAGATGGTATGACAATCCATAATCAGAAATAAGAGCTGAAGTATTTCTGCAGTTATATAGAAATATGTTTAACAGTGACTGCTGTAGCTTAGTCAGAACACACACAGCTACAGTTTAGCATGATATTCAAATATTTACAGTGAAGTGAACTCAGATTATTTCCCCATTTCACTTACCAGTCATAGAAGCTAGGTGAAGCAATATTTTTATGCAGTTACTAAATTAACAGGGTAACGAGTCAAGACATTTGACAATATAAAATTAGCATTGATTGGACAAACTAAAAAAATCAGTATGTGTTATTTAAACACATATGCACACATGTGCCACCCTTGAAACAGGAATCACACACTCTAGAATGTCCATTAGAATCCCCTACCAGGGCTGCACTTATTTTAGTATATCTTTTAACAATAGTGTTGAATAGTAGTAGGTGGATCAAATTAGGCTACTCCTATCTGTTAACTGGAAAAATGTTTTGTCTTCCAAGCATATAACTGCTACAAAAGAAAATCATTAGTCCCAGCAAGTTCTGACATTTGGAAATAGCAGGAATTCTCATTATAAGGAAATCTCCAGGCAGATTCTAATATACATCCTGTGATATTAGCTACTTAACAGTGATATGCTTTCTACTATTAAATATCCCTCGGGGGCCTATTAATCTCTTATAGCCACCAGAACCGCACATAGACAATCAGCATAATAAAAAAGACAGCAATAGCAGCAAGCTTGGCATAGGTGGAACGCATGTTCAGATATTTCGCATCCTGGCGGTATTTCTTGGACAAACTGGACAGATTGTTTGCTTTGGAATCCAATGCTGTTTGAAGAAAAGATAGCATGCAAATAAAAATATTATATTCATGAAATGTCAATATTATTATTTAAAAGACAGTAGATCTAGCTCCAACCTCTAAGTGTTTAATACTGACTTTAGTCTGACATATATGATTCAATCTTTTTCACTGAAACGTTTGCTAGATGTTATAGATTTCCCTCAAGCAGGTAGGAAATTTTGTCTTTGATAATCAAATTTTGTCTTTGATAATTTTTTAGATTAATGGGCAATGACTTAAAATAATTATTATAAGCTACAAAAGGGAATTCATGGAAGTCAAATTCTTTCATTTCCCCTAGCAGTTACAAAACCTTTTGAAAAAACTCTATGAAAGACTAGTGAACTTTTATAAACAGTGGGATGAGGCACTGAGTTTGCAGAAAGGAAGTTTCTTATTCCTTCTTCTTCCGATCAACTACCCCCAATCTTTACATAATGTTTTTTGGTGTCTCTCTCTCTGTGTGCATGTAGATGTATATATATAGTCAAAAAATGTCTTTTACAGTAGCTGTTGGCAATTTCCCCCCATTTTGATGTTGTCCTTCTGTTCCCTCATCTAGATAAATATTGAAATGGTGAAAAGCAGTGGGCCTAAGATAGAACCTTGAGGTACCCCACTGCATGCTTCCCTCCATATACCGTGTTTCCCTGAAAATAAGACCCGGTCTTATATTATCTTTGCCTCCAAAAGAGGCATTAGGTCTTATTTTGGGGGGATAACTTATATTTTTCATGACACCCGCCTCGCCTCACAGCAGTGGCACCAACAGCCCCGTCCAGCAGGAGCCCGCGTGGCTGCGGCCCACTTCTTCTGTGGTCGCTCATACAGCACATTGCGCCACTGCCGCCACAATGAGGCGAGGCAGGTGGGGGAGGGGTGGAGCTGCCCCATGCGTCCCGCACCCACTTACTTCAGGGATCCCCCAGCCAGGCCATTTCTTGCTCACGACCTTCCCTTTCACTCCCCTCCTGAGCCGGACTGCCATGCTATGGAGGATGGGTGGGTTAGGCCCGGTCTCCCTCTGCCGTTTCAGAGCCAGGGGGGAGTGATGGCAGAAGGCTCCGCTGCTGCTGTGTGCCGCTGGAGGGGCTTTCTTTGCACACCCCACAGATCACCTGCCCGGCGGCAGCCTCTTCCTCCTTCTCCACCAACTCTCCTGTGGCTTACGCAGTGACCGGGCGGTGCAAGCCTCCCCTGCTGCCTCCCTCCGCCAGCCCTCCGTCACCGCCGCTGGAGAGAACGGAGAATGGGGAGGGGAGCGGCTCCGCGCAGCGATGCAGAGCACTTGCTTGCTGCCCTGCGTCTCCCTTCTCCGTCCTGGAAATGGCAGCCCCATTTTCTGCCACTTCTCCCGGTGCTGCTGTAGAGTTTGGCGCACCACTGCCCAGCTCCTCTCTCTTCCCGAAAGTATTTCTTCACTAACCTGCTTTCCAGCTCTGTCATGTTTCTCTCCTGCTGCAGGGAAATGAAATTTGTGGGACTAAAAAAAGTTCAGTCAGACCTTTCAACTTCGCGAGATCTTTTTTTTTTTTTTTTCCACAAGAAGTTGGAAGTCTGATTGAACTTTTTTTAATCTCACAAACTTCATGGCGCAAGCAATGGGTGTTGTGATTCCGTGCCAGCCTGTGTTCCCAACAGCTGAGTCTGAGGAATCTGAGGAGGAGGTGGAGGAGGCCGTTGAGGGGCCATCAGGGTCAGAGGGAGGCTCTGATGAATTACAAGACTCACGGCTTGATGAAGAGCCTGGCCCCTCCAGTCGTGTTTCTGATGAAGCTCAGCTGTGTGAGGAGCAGGAGTCAGANAAACAACAACAGTCTATGAGACTACTCCAAAGTAAAAGGAGAAGGCAATGAGAGGCAACGCCCTGGGACTGCTGTATAAAAAGGGGAGGTGTGGGCGTTGCTGGTTGCTGAAGGCAACCGTTTGCAAAGTGCTTCTTGGAATCCTGGTCTGTTCGTCTTGTTTGCAACGTGTTCCTGTGGACTATTTCCTTCCTTTGGATTTGAGGTTTGCTGTTTGTGTTTCGGACTTATTGACAGGATTGTCACCCAAATAAAAGGGATTTTGTTTTGTTTTAAAGTTTCCAGCCTATTGTATCAGCAGAGGTTTGGTCCTTGTGCCTCTAACAAGGACGGCAATAGGCTGGGATAGAACAATGGGAGATCTGGCAGAGGAAGTGGCACCTGCTGCTGGGCAGGTGATCTGTGGAACAAAGCGCGAAGAAAGCCCCTCCAGCAGCACAGAGCGGTAGGGGAGCCTTTCGCTGTCACTTCCCCCTGGCTCCGAAACGGTGGAGGGGGACCGAGCCTACCCCGCCCATCCTCCGTAGCATGGCAGTCCGGTTAGGGAGGGGATTGAAAGGGAAGGTCACCGAGCAAAGAATGGCCTAGCTGGGGTGGCCCTGAGGTAAGCGGGTGAGGGGCACGTGGGGCAGCTCCATCTCTTCCCCCACTGGCCTTGCCTCGTTGTGGCAGCAGCAGCGCGACACACACTCTCCTGCCCTATTGCAGCAGTGAAGTGGGACAGAGTGGGCAGGGTCATAACTAGGGCTTATTTGGGGATAGGGCTTATATTAGGCCCACCTCCCAAAATTAGGGTAGGTCTTATTTTTGGGAAAACACGGTAGATGTAGTTCCATTAAGGACTACGCTCTGAATGTGATTAGTCAGCCAACTGCAAATCCATCTGTTGGTGGTACTATCTGTTTTACATGATGGTAGGAATCTACGCTTTCATAATTACTTCCAGTTTGGGAAAGATTTTCAACTAAGTTAACTCTGGTGGACTCAGAAATAATAATTAGAAAAAAACAGAAATTGTTTGCTCTCTGTTATGTAAGCAGAAACTGTTTTCCCCTATGCCAATTATTTGTCCATGGATCAAATAAAATGATAGAACACAGCAATAACAGACACCTGCTGCTCTGTCTGGTTGCATTCTTCAGCTAGCATCAGCTTTCAGTTAGGCAAGATAATTGCTTGCTTGCTTGCTTGATCACTGACTAAAACAGATAGATAGTGAACAAGTAGAAGAAGGGCATGGACAGGTAAGATGAGGGTATTTCTATTGGGAAATATATGTTCTTCTTATTGTCTCCTTTAGCAAAAAGAAAGGATGCAATAAGGGTAACTAGAAAGTAGTGCAACAGAATAAGCTACATACTGTATGTATAGTTGACAAAGAATAAACTACCCCACCACAGACAAAAGAATAATGCTAAGGAAAAGAATGAAAGCCACCAAGTGGGCTGGAAAATCTTGCAGATGGGACACTGAGAATTAGGCAGTAGCATCTTTTCCTGTTCCCTATAGTCTGATCATGGGCTTTGCCATGTTGTTGACTATTTCCAATCACCTACTGGTTCCTGCCTGCCTTTGCCTGCTTTTTATTTCTCTCAAGAAAAATAATTGACAAGGTACACCATTTCTCAAACTATTGCCAAGCTGGAATGAACAATTCCAATCGATGGATTAAAAAATACTGTTCAATAAGCAGTGCTATTGATGCATGCTTATTATACATTGCACTGATTACTCAGCATGAAATATTGTCACTGAAACGTAAGATCACAAATGATTTAGAACTTCTCACAAAATTGTAATTTTCCTAGTCTATTGGTTTGTTGGTTTTTACAAAACAGAGTATATATTTGCATGCTATGTTTCAAGTTAATTGCCAGAGGAATTAAGTACATGCTATTAAAATACAAACAAAAATTAAAAGGCCTTCATATGGTATCTGTTTTTTCTCAGTATGCATCTTTTGTTGCCTCTTGAGGATTAGGATGGTCCTTCATTATCTACAGGAAGTATTATTTTAGGCAAAGCGGTTTGCCAGTTTTATTCTGCAACCATATATTTAAACTTCTCCCAAAATGGGCAATAGTTTATGCTATAGTTTTGCAAACTGTGTCTGTGAAACCCTAGGATTCCACAATAAGATGGGTTAGAGTGGTGGGATCTATAATAGTAAGATAGAGCATAAAAAAAAGAAAGTTCATAGAACAGGATCTATGGCCTGAAAAAAATTGAAAACATCTGGTTTATGGATCCCTGTACCTGAAAGAGTTTCGCCTCGTTGTAAGACTTCTTCAATGTTGGCTACCATGATTCTTTGTACATCTTGTAACTCTGTATTAATAGACCCAAGATTTCTTCTTGCACGGCTATCTATATACAGCTTCTTGGTTTTCTGGATATAGGTATCTGGAATAAAAAATAATTGTTCATATAAGGGTATTCTCTTTCCAAATTCTTAATCAATTTGTATTCTCAAATCATGCCATAGAGAGAACTTATTACAAGGAATGGAAAAAAGGGTGGGTGCAGGAGAAAGAACTGCTCTAGGGGGAAAAAATACAATGAACATCTTGTCTGTTAATTTCCCCAGCAGGGTTCAGTAACTATACTGATAGCAAATATAGTCATTAACCACAATATAACCTGGTTATCCTATATTCAATTTAAATTATCTACCTCTTGTTTAGTAAAATAAAACTTCTGAAGTACAGGTAGTCCTTGTTTAATGAACACTCATACAGTGGCTGAAGTTATGACAGCACTGAATGAGGAGACCTATGACCAGTCTTGTCGTGATAGCCTTGTGGTCATATGATCATGATTCAGTATTCAGCAACTAGCTCACAATTATGATAGTTGCAGCGTTCTGCAGTTACGTGAGCACCATTTGTATCCTTTGCTGCCAGTTTCCAACAAGCAAAGTCAATGGGGAAGCCATTAGGAGGATGCAAATTGTGATCATGTGACATCATGCTTAACAGTCATGCAGGATTCACATAACAATGGCAACCAGAACGTCACAATTGCTGTCACAAGTCATGTGACAACATGTGACATTGCTCATTATAACATTACTTAACAACAGAGTTGCTGCAGTTTCAATTACTGTTAAGTGAGGACTACCGATACTGCAATGAAATGTAGTCTAATAAAGCAAAACATATAGATGACATAGGAAATGGCCCTGAAGGATAGGAGGAAGAACTGCTATCAAGGCAACAATCAGATAAGCTGTTTCTTCCAAGAAACTAATTTGAGTAAATGTCTCAGTTCCTCCCTAGCTCACACTAATAAAAATGAGGGAGGAGTAAAGCACATTTAGACTTGCAAGATTACATTAATATAGCTATTATTAGAAAAGAAGTCCTAACTTATACAGCATTGGTTTCTTAGTCTGGTCTACCTTCTGGGTTGACAGAACAATATAAAATGTGAAATACTTTAAATGCAGACATCACTGTTTACTGTGGTATATTATTCTATCTCTTTGAATCAATTCATGTATATGCCACACAATCTTTTTATCCCATCAGTTGAAGCAGAAATCAGAGAATAGTTTAGATATGCAATTCTGAATGTATTAGTAACCTATTAAAAGAAAGAAGTGGAATGAGCCAACTAGAAAGGGGCATTAAGATTACTAAAGAGCTGGCCCTGGACTACTATCGTTAAATCATTAATCTAAAGAAATAAATCTCACCAAACTCAATGAAAGAATAGGGTCTGGACACCGTTGGCACCTTTTTCCCATGTTGTTCATCAAATTCTGAGTGCAAATCTTCCAGATATGCAAAAGCCATTTTTTTGGGGAAAGCAGCTTCACATAGTATCAGATAACAAACTCCTTTTTCAATAATGTAACTATAAATGAAGATATAAGCCAATTGTTAGCCTGGAAGAAAAATGAACCCCTACCTTGGACTATTGATTTCAGTGGCCATAATGCAAACAGCATTCCAATCTATATTACAAGACACAAATTATATTTAGCCTTAAATTATACTTACTTCAGAGTTCTACTGCATTTTAGACAAGAACAATGGTGAGAAAAGCTCACACACATGCATGCCATCTTTTATCTTTATCTTTTATGTTTTATTGATTTTATTCAATGGGCTACCCTTGAAGAGCATTTGAAGCTTCATCTAGTGCAGAGTGCATCAACGCAGAGAGTCTTTGAGGCTCCTAGAGTGGCCCATGTTACACCACTGTTCCAAGAGCTGCACTAGTTGCTGGTTTGCTTCCGGATGCATTTCAAAGTGTTGGTTATTACCTATAAAGCCCTGCATAGCATGGGTCCAGGTTTCTTGAGAACCATCTCGCCCCTATGGAACAGGCCTGCCCCACCCATGCCGTCAGTTAAGGAATTCCGGCTGGCAGGGTCCAGGAAAAGAGCCTTCTCTGCTATGGTCCTGGCCTTTTGGAACATCCTGCCCCGAGATGAGATTGGCTTCCACCCTCCTGACCTTCTGCAAGAGCTTGAACACCTGCCTCTACCAGTTGGCTTGGGGGAGTACCACACTGGAGGTGGTTGATCAACTAATAGTGGCTCCCACTTCTCCCCCATATGTTCTGTTCCTTTCCTCCCCATTCTTTAGTTTTAGTTACAATCTGTATTTTCATTGTGATTTTATTGCAGTTTTATATATTGGCATATATATATACAGTATATATATTTTGATATTGTAAACTGCCCTGCATCAACTTGCAGCGAGATAGGGGGGCAAACAAATTTAATATTAAAAATATTAAATATTATTATAATTTATTTGATTGTTGTCAGCAATCCAGAGTTGTTGAGAGTCAGGTAACATCATGTTTAATAAATTATTATTACATCTTTAACTTTTCTCTTGATGTTCTATATCATTCTCTTAGAAAAAAATGTAAAATATTTTGTAATATATTTCGAAACTGGCTATGATTTTCAAAATGCAGAGAAAGAAGTGGAGAACAACTTATCTCAAATTTGATAAGATGCAGCACAAAGTTCACTTAAAAGCTTACAGTACAGTGATATAAGCAGCAAAAGATTATAGGTTATAACCAAAGAAATGTACAATAGAAAGGCAAAAGCAAAAAACAAACTAAAGCTAGCAAGAGAGCCAAAACCAGCAAAAGATTTTCTTTAAATATGTTAATAGCAAGAAGATGGAAGATGGGTTGCTGGACTCACTGCCTATTTCAGATGGAGAAATGTTAGTAAATTACCATGAAAAAAGCAAAAGAACTTAATTCCTACTTTGCCACTATTTTTATACCCAAAGGAAAATGTTATTTCAGTAGCACAAATTGCAAACAGAAATATATTACATTGGAGAGAAAAAACGTAGGAGACAAATATAAAATGGGTAATTCGTGTCTTGAAAATACTACTTCTGAAAAAGACTTGGTTGAATTCATTGACAAGCTGAACATGACTCAGCAGTGTAAATATGGCAGGTGGAAGGGCTAATGCAATTCCTGGTCACTTAGAAGCAACATTGTCTCAAAGAAATACCTTCTTCCTCTCTACTCCACTCTAGTGGATTTTTCTAAAGTAGTATATATGATTCTGGGCATCACACTTCTAAAAGGATATTGACAAGTTAAAATGGATTCAGGGGAGGAACCTATGCAATAGGCTGATGGAACTTAGGATGTTCAGAAAAGAAGACTTAGGGGAGACATGATAACCATGATCAGGTACATAAAGGAAAACTATAGGAAAAATGGACAAGAACTATTTTCCTAAAAGCAAACTAAAAATAAAGAATACAAATTATAGTTGCCTGAATTTTATTTAGGAGAGCTAAATTGGTGTAGAGTTAAGGCTAGAAACTGGGACACTATGAGCTCTAGTCCTGCTTTAGCACAAAGCCAGCTGGGTGACCTTGGTCTAATCACTTTCTCTCAGCAAACCAATTCTGAAAACCTTGAAAAGAAATTGCAGGGACTTATTCAGGCAGTCACCAGCGAGAATCAGACAGAATTTAAAAGAAGAAAAATAATTCATTTAAGCCCAAGGAAAGATTTCCTGATGGTAAGATCTGTACAAAAATGGAATATTCTACTATAAAGTTGTGGGTTTTACATCACTTTTTAAGGAAAAGATTTTAAAACAGATTTTTAAGAAAAACTGTGGACATATGGTTTAATAAGTTTTTCTATACATTGCAGAGGATTGGACTAGATGATTCTTATGATCCATTCCAGGCCTAGAATTCCATGATTCTATGAATCTGCTGAGTTCTTTCAGACTGAGGAACTGACTCACATTCCTGAATGCTCCTTCAAGAATCCAAGACCCTCTGAGGCTTACAAGGCTTACTTACAGATTACATTTAGGCCTTTTTGAATCTCAGTTGGAGGGAAGAGTGCCCAATAACTCTTACATAGTTACTTGAATCAATATTTATTTGTAATAACTGAGGATATTGTCAAGCATTATGTTCCACTATTAGCTAGATACAATTATGCTTTTAGATTGTATAATTTTCAACAGCAAATGAAAATTATTGGAAGTTCTCTTCAGATCTCTCATATCAGTATAAAATAGTTTTATGTACAAGTGCATGTCCCTTGCTCACCTTTCTCCCTAATGTGAGCAGAGTAAATTTTGCAAAGGACTAAGCTGATAAATTGAAAACTGACTTTAGCACACCAAATTCTTCCAAGACTATGCTTTAAAAGATATACTTAATGTTGCTTCTCTTAAAGTTTGAGAAACTCACCAAGATTTGCTATTTATACTTACTGAAAAGTCATTGGTCCAGCTTCTAATGTGCATCTGGTAGGAGACTGTTCATTGAGTTTCCGAAACAATTGCTTGGCCTGGCTCTGATACTGCTGCAAATCTCGACCTGACTATGAAAAAATAACAACAACCCCCCCAAACAACAAACAAATCTCCAACATACTTCAACAAATTTAGTCAAATTATGGTGAATAATTAGAAAACAACCAGATCAAAACTTAGATCTTATGGCATTTTAAAACAAACATTTGTGGACTATAGTCCACTTTATTAAATCAACTAGGTATATATCTGCAGATTCCTGCTCACCAGTAGCATCCATTAAACAGGTTAAATAAAGAAAAAATTCCTAACTGTATGATACATCTTCCTCTAAGTGGGAGTGGGGGAGAATGAGCTCAATTTAGACTCATTCTCTAATGCTGTAATTTTGTTATACACTTCAGTAAATACATAGCAAAATTCACAATGTTATTTCTAACCTAGACAAGCATTTCGTAGTAAATAAAGAAAAATTAACCCTAAGCAACCCCATTGGTTTTATTCCTAAATATCTTTCAATTTCAATGCTATCATTTAGTGAGTACACTTTAAATGCTTAAGCTGCATTGTATATATTACTTAATCAGAAATTAAATCCTGAGTAGAAAGGAAGGGGGGGGGAACCCACAGTATCTCACACTCACCTGTTCATCTTCCTGCATAGAAGCAGCTAAAGGAAGCCCATCAGCCACCCGCGCAATCATCGTTAGAAGCACCATCTTCTTGGACGATCAACACCTACAGATTCGGTATCCTGCTCGCTCAAGACTATACTGAGCTGGCCGGAAGCTGCAAAACCAAGTTCCGGATCCCTATAAGAACTCTCTTGCCTATTTCCTGTGCAATCGTATCGCCGGTCAAGAGCGGAGGTTCCCAGATTTTGGGTTCCGGTAAAAGTAACGGACATTTTTTTGTTCCTCTCAGAAGTGGTGTTGGGGGATGGTCTTCAACAGCCCCGGCAAGGATCGTAAGCATGAAGGTCTAAGTGTCATCCGCTTTAGCGATGGCAGTTCCACAACACAGTTGCAGAGAAGTGCGGGCGTTCTAAGGACATCCCGACTTGGAGGGGGACATCGAGCAATATGCTATCGATGCGCCAATGGACTGACTTCGAGACCGATGGCTCAGGCTCAGGCTCTAGCTGCGTCCCTCTAGCCCAGTACCAAAGGGGTTTGTCTCACGCCTCGGCTGTCTCATCTTCCTCCGAGCTCCTTTTCATCTGTTGTATCTTTTAAATGCTGTAAGCGCTAGTTTAACAAAAGAAATATAATTCTCAAACTTAAGAGCATGGTAGCGGTGACAATTGCATAATAATATCTTACATGTAAGCTTTTTGTTTTGTGAATAACAGCTGGGAGAAGGAATTTTAACTCCCTGTCCTACTCCTAGAGCAGAATTTTTTTTAAACAATTACTGTTTGCTATAGGTAGTCCTCGACTTACAACAGTTCATTTAGTGACCGTTCAGTTACCATGACACTGAAAAATATAACTTATGACCGGTTTTCACACTTATGACCATTACAGCATCCCCATGGTCTGTGATCAAAATTCGGATGCTTGACAATGGATTCATATTTATGACAGTTGCAGTGTCTCTTCTGACAAGCAAAGTTAATGGAAAAGCCAGATTCACAAGAAAGGTCACAAAAAAAATCACTTAATGTTTCACTTAGCAACAGAAATTTTGGGCTCAATTGTGGTCGTAAGTCGAGGACTACCTGTATCAGGAGAAGCTGCTATTGACATGAATGGAGACCAGTTAAAAAGCTAATACAGTCCTAGGCTACATCAACAGAGGGATAGTATCAAGGTTAAGTGAAGTGTTAGCACTGATTTATACTGCATTGGTAATACCACACTTGTAATACTGCATCCAGTTTTGGTCACTGCAATACAGAAAAGATGTTGAGACACTAGAAAAAATGCAGAGAAAAGCAACAAAGATGATTAAGGGACTAGACACCAAACCATACAATGAACAGTTGCGGTAACTGAGTTTATCTAGACTAAAAAAGAGAAGGAATAGGGGTGATATGGTAGTAGTGTTCCAATATTTGAGGGGCTGTCACGGAGAGAAGAGAGTCAATCTATTTTCCAAAGCACTTGAGGACAAGACAAGAAGTAATGGACGGAACTAACAAAAAGAGATCCAACCTAGAATTAAGAAGAAATTTCCTATCAGTGAGAACAATTCTTGGAATGGCTTGCCTACAGAAGTTGTGGGTACTCCATCACTGGAAGTTTTTAAGAAGAGATTGGACAACCATTTGTTCAAAATGCTTGAGCAGGGTGTTGGACTAGAAGACTCCCATAGTGCCTTCCAACTCTGTTATTTTGTAACTCTGTAATATTGTATTCTGCTTAAAGAAGGATATTGTCCTTGTTAAAGAGAGAAAGCAAAACTTAAATAATAATTTCCTCATTATTCTCTCCCTACAAAAAAAATTAAGAGAAAAAAGGTAAAACTGTGTAATGCCTTTTGGATGATATAAAAAGCAACATTACCATGTTTCCATGAAAATAAGACCCACCCAGAAAATAAGCCCTAGCCTGATTTTTTGGCATGCGCCTAATATAAGCCCTACCCCCAAAATAAGCCCAAGTTAAGAGTCCGCACACTCCGTCCCAAAGTCTGGTTGCTGCTGCAATGGTACAGGAGAGTGTGTCGCACCAGTGCTGCCACCATGAGGTGAGGCGAGGCAGGTGGGTGGAGCTGCCCCATGCGTGCTGTACCCGCTTACCCCAGGGCCCCTGCAGCCAGGCCAATCCCCACTTGGTGACCTCCCCCCGCTCATTCAATAACCCAGCTGCCCACCCCTCTCTTCCCTTTCACTTCCCTCCCAAACCAGACTGCCATGCTATGGAGGATGGGCTGGGGAGGCTCGGTCGCCTTACCCAGTCCCCCCCCCCCCGCTGTTATGGAGCCAGGGGGAGTGGTGGCAAAAAGCTCTTCTACCACTGTGCAACAGCCACTGGTTGAGGGGCTTGCTTTGGTCCTGGCTGCTCCTGATTCGCCCTGCAGATCACCTGCCTGGCGGCGGCCGCCACCTCCTCCACCAATTCTCCCATGGCTTGCGCTGTGACTAGGAGGTGCAAGCCTCCCTTGCTTCCTCTCTCTGCCTGCCACACTGTTTCCTTTTTGCAAACAGATGAAACTTCCAGTCTCTGTCAGTTCTCCATCCAGGCAAAAGTGTTTGGGTGCCTATGGAGCACTTGAAACAAAGCGAATCACTGTTTCCAAGCTCCCCATAGGTGCCCAAACTCTTTTTGCCTGGACGGAGAACTGGCAGAAACTGGAAGCTTTGTCTACCTGCAAATGGGGCACTTGGAAATGGAGCAAATCGCTCCATTTCCAAGCACCCCATAGGCGCCCAAACAATTTTCGCCTGGATAGGGAACTGTTGGAGACTGGAAGGTTCGTCTGCTTGCAAAAGGAAAGTGTGGCAGGCGGAGGGAGGCAACAGGGGAGGCTTGTCCTTCAGCTTCCCTTGCCTGTCCACACCACTCTCCTCCTCGCCTGAAGGCACATTCCACCAGCACTGCCCTTGCCTCCTGAGGGTCTGCCCTGGGAAGTCCTATAAGCCGTTGCGATCGAGGGCAAGCAGACGGAGGGAGTGGGCTGGCAGCCGCAAACATCCCCTGAAAATAAGCTCTAATGGGTCTTTTGGACTAAAAAAATATATAAGACCCAGACTTATTTTCAGGGAAACACGGTAGTTCCACTGCTCTTCTAATAGTGCTGCAAGAATAAATAAAGGGATATTATTCAAATTTGGAACTTTGGTGAATCATGGATGAGATGTTAGGAATAATTTTTACTGAGAATTATAGGTGATAACCAGCAATATTTTGTTCCTTTCTCTTATATGTTTGAATTGAATTGAATTGAACTGAACTGAATTAAATTGAATTAGCTAAACCTAGCATTCTTTTTGGGCTTCTCTCAATCTGTTCCAGTTTGTCTGATGTTTTTCATGTGTTGTGACTGCTCAAAAGTGGACACATCTGACCAGCACAAATAAAGTGTAACATCATATCAATAGCTCTACATAGTACTTTACAGCCCTCTCTAAGCCGTTTACAGAGTCAGCATATTGCCCCCAACAATCTAGATCAGACATGTCAAACTTACGACGTCATGTGACATTGCGTGACATATTGGAGCTTTTCCCCCATTGCCGGCAATGGGGTGGGTGTGTTTCCTCATGATGCGTCCAGCCCGCAGGCGGGCAGTTTAACACTCCTGATCTTGATCCTCATTTTACCCACGTTGGAAGGATGGAAGGCTGAGTCAACCTTGAGCTGGTGATAATCGAACAGCTGGCAGTCAGTAGAATTACTACATTCTAACCACTGCACCACCACGGCTGTTTTCTTTTTTTTTCATACCTAATTAATGCAGCCTGAAATTGTATTAGGGTTTTTTTTTTTGCAGTCCCTTTGTAATGCTGAACAATATACCATTTTTAAGCTATACCAAAGTCTTTTAGCTAGTATTACCAATGAGATATCTATTATTTATATATTTTATTTTTCTAAAAGATGAACACTTTATTTGTCTTTTGTAATTACACTGTTATTTTAAATCTATTTCTCTATCAAGGAGCAACGCAGAGCAAACCCATTCTCTTCCTTTTATAGATTTTTAGATTTCTGAAGATTGTTAAAATATCTACCTCAGTTATCACTTTGGCAGGCTAAACATATGCAGTTCCTATAACTTTTTGAAACTGCTTCAGTGGACTTGGATGAATTTACTGATACTGTGACATATTTTAGCTTTTGTGAGGATATATGTGTGCTCACCAAGAGCTTGTGTATATATAACAACAATAAGCCTTGGTTCACAGCTAAGCTCAAGCAGCTACTTCGAACCAAAGAGGAGGCTTACAGGAAAGGAGATAGGACAATCAGGCCAGGAATATATTAACAAGGGAGATCAGGGTAGTAAAGAGAAGCTACTTCAAAAAGCTGAGAAATCAGTTCTCACAAATGAACCAACAACTGTATGGAGAAGCCTGAAGAACATCATTGGTTACAGTAGACCTCCCTCCCTTAGTGAAGAGAATCGTCAACTGGCAGATGACCTGAATGTGTTCTACTGTAGGCTTGAGAGGATATCACTGTCATTTACCACTACCTTCCCCAACTCAGAAACATCAACCTTAGCCAAAAGTGTGCGCTCTACATTGCTCTTCTCTATATATACCAATAAATGTATCTTTAGGGATCCCTCTGTTAAAGCTGGCGTCCCCAACCCAACACCTGTTGGGAACTAGTCCACGCAAGCAATAGGCGAGTGCGCAAAGCTTCATCTGTGCATGCGCAGGATCTAGATTATGCATGCGAAACCATCCCCTGCCACCACTGCCACTTGCCGCCAGTGGTCCATAGAGCCAGAAAGGTTGGGGACCGCTTTGTTAAAGCAGGGCTTTTCAACCCATGGTACAGTATCACTTGTGGTACTTTGCCACATGGCAGGTGGTATGCAATTGCTAGCCAAGTGTAGCAGGGGAGGGTAATGAGCCGAAGCAAGCCAAGCCTGAGGGAGAGGCAGGACTGTCTGGGCTCGGCAGAAGCCCCAGGAGCCAGCAGGGCTCCAGCTGATTGGCGCTTCCAGAAGCAGCTGGAGCTGGAGGTGAACTGAAGAAAAAGGGGGGGGTGAAGAGAGGAGAGGCTATTAAAGAACGTGGTTTGGGTGGGGGAAGGGGAAAAAAGACAACAGGAAAGGTTTAATCCCTTTAAACCAGTGTTTCTCAACCTTGACAATTTTAAGGCATGTGGACTTCAACTCCCAGAATTCCACAGCCA